CTTTGAAAAAAAGTTATCCAAATAATTATATTTTAAACTACATATGTACATGAAAGATGAGACATAATCTATCAGATCTAATCTAATACCAGTCTAATACACCGACTAAAGTCTATATATTTTAACATTGTGTATAGTTGCTCAAAATTACTAAAACAGCCTTCCACATCTACCACAGCTTGTAATTATTGTTTTCAGTAAATTTTATTTGATAGTTATTTGCTGCCATTCTTAAAAAAAATAATAAATGTAATCTGAAGAATTCGCTATTTTGCTAAATCCTCTAAAGATTTAATAGAAGACACTGCAGCCACGGACAATGTGAATATATTCAAGGTAGGTTAAGCATATTTTACATTCTGTTGAGTGGGTCCAGATTGAATTAATGAGTTCAAATACTTCATCCTTGGCATGGAATTTTATTTACTACATGTCATCTTTATTCCTGGAGAAAATAAAGTCAGTTAAATTCAAAAGTTCAAGTTCCTTATGTGGGTAGGACAGTATTCCATTTTTTGTGTCTGTGATGTTTTTAAGCAAATAAGACATTAAACTAAACTTCCAATATTTCTGTTGCAGAAATAGTTAGAAAGTAATTAGTAAGCATAATAATTCATGTGAGAACAAAAGATTATTGGTCCAGCATCTTGACTGCTCAGTTGCAAATATTATTAAAGAACTTTGTAGCAAAGAGAGATAGTGAGAAAGTATGAGGAAAGACAAAGGCCAGGCAGCAACAAGTGATTGGCCTTTCCCTTCCACAAATACACACACAGTAAGATGCTGTGGCAGAGGAAAGAAGGAAAAGGAGCTGCCTATTTCAGTGGATCACCAGTGGTGCAGCCTCCAAGAAAGGGAGCAGCAGGAGGAGGTAGCAGAACTTACTGTAGATTTTTATACAAGTAACTTGGTAAACAGCTGTGATTTTACACTGATACTGCTAGACCAGAACAAGCAGATCAGCTGAAATTCCTCTGTACTGTGCTAGGTACAAGCTGCTGAAGTTATCATTATTACATTTGTTTTCTCATCCTAGGACAGGAAAGAAAGACAAACTACTCCACTACATTGCCTTAGAGTGACAGAATAACTCCACTAAGTTCTGGTTTTGTGAAATTCAAGATCTGAGCAGACCATGGATTTATGATCACCATTCCATCAACAAAAAACAGACTTCAGAGTATAAGAAAATGGTTTTCTTCAACTAAACACCAAGACAAATCTACAGTCTTCTACCATAATGTTCTGAACCTGCACAGCATGCCCATCTTCAGCAGCACACACCAGGAAACAGCTAATCCTTGATCTGAGACACTGATGGCAATTGCTGTTCCATTCCTTACCTGTGTTAGCAGGAACCCCAATTGCCAGAGACATGCTTTACTGTATTTAAATCTTGGGCTCAGTCAGAGGTCTCTGGACAAAGTTATCTGTCATGAGATGAACAGGCAGTCACATCAGGCGAGCTGATAGTCCTCTCTGGCTGTAAACTATGAAACCTCAGACTGGAAGAAACAGTTCCCACTAGGCTCTAAGTGTTATAAACAAAAGTTAACTTTGTATCTAACATTGTTTTTGCACTAGAGGAAAACATAACTGCTAAGAACACACATTGTGTAACTTGAGGAACAGCCACCATTACTCCAAAGCCTTTCAGACAATGCTTGGAACTTGCACAGTTTTCTGTGATGTTGCATCATGCATCACACAGCACATTGCATGTGTTGTGCTGTGACAAACTGGAGAAACACATCATCTGTGGAATTAGAATTGGCCAACAGCCAGGAAAATAGGTCGTATTTTGTGCAACAGGCAGAATAGAATTACTTTTAATGTTGCCTCAGACACAATGCTTGTACCTCCCAAACAGACTGATATTCTGTAAAATATGTTACCACTGTCAGCTAAATTAACCTAACTTTAACCATTGTCTTTTAATTCTCTTCCTTTTTTTCAGCCTAATTTAGGCTAAAGCATTAAAAATATCTACAAGCTGCTAGAAAGACATTGCTTTTGTACTTTAAACGTTACCATATTGTATAGCAATTGGGAGTTGTCATTTGGGAAAACACCACAGTTAGGAAAAAACAGTTTGCAGAGCTTTACAGAAAATAATACCATATGCTACCATTCATTGTAATTCCTGGTCTAAGGTATTAAGAACTCTCAACTTTGAGAACTCGTGCACCATTTTTCCTCTAAGAATAAACAAGAGAACTATTAATTCAAAATCATCATAAGTCATTATTAAAGAAATCTGGATAGCCACAAAACTGGGGGTTTCTGTAGTGTGCTATAATATGGACAGAATTTCTATATTCACAGCTTTAATTTTCTGAAGGAGTAAAATGGAGTATTTCCCATTGAGAATACCTGAAGAAAAGCACTGCTTAAATTATATTTATTTATTTAAAAAAAAAAAAAGGATAAAAATTATTTTTTTCACCATTATTTGAGCTCTATGCTATATACCTAATTTGCCTGTAACCTCAATGGTGACTGGAAATAGCTTATTAAATACACCAATGCTATCAACCTCACATTCAGACTGCTGTTGTAAGTCAAATAATAATATATGCAGGACATAATGGCCAACAGATGAAGTTTATGGCTTTAGATCACATTTCACAGTGGCATGAAACTGCAATTTATCATTCAGTCTTCCACTTCACCACACAGAAAATGTTACCCTCTGTGACGTTTTCACTGTGCAATGTTAACAAAAGAATTAAAGAATTATATTAAATTGTATTACTCCTTTTTGAAATTAGTTCTAGTGAATGCATTATAATCTTTGTTTTTCTTATAGATATTCTTCAAAGATAATTTACTGTATTTTTGGCAGTACTACTTCACAAAAACTTGGAGAATAGCTAAGAAAATTGAGCTTCAGGTGATCGACAAACTCAGGCATTAAGAAAGGAAAGACAAACACTACTTTAGTTTTCTGAAGTACTGCCAGGAAGAAGTATAAATTAGTATTAGAGTCAGAGTGAAGTTGTAGACTTCAGATTTGAACTGGAATTTCTCATTGCCCTTCACACAATCGCCTGTCACTACAAAAAAGAATTTGTAGAAAAATTGATATGTAGAATATCTTCCCCTATTAGAAAATGGATTTGTCAGATTTAAGAATTATTAGTGTCTCATACATTTCTTAAAAGTGATAAGATTGATAACATCTGGTAGCAAGCAGGAAGGTATAAGTTTCAACTTGTGCCAATTTCAGCCTAGGCACACCTCTGAAAAAAGGAAGGAATCAGAGGGCTTGTAACAGTTTCATACCTTTTTCACTTTCCTAGCAGCAAGCATCATAGGAAAGTTAAGCAAATTTTATGTTAGGACTATGAGACTGAAATATTAAGAAGAAAAACATTCTTAATGTTTAGACCAGCGATTTGTTCTTAGACAACAAAGTAGTTGTAAAAGCAATAACTATTTGTGAAGGTATCAAAGGAGTTTAAGCTTATTAGGATGTTACATGAAGTTAAACCATAAAGATAACGTCAATATTATTTAGATATACTAAACTAATTGGAGGAGTACAGAACTGTTGTGCGTTAGAATGCCAGGCAGTCCATTCAGAACAGGTGGTCTTGGATTCAGGGCATCTGTTAGAACTGATGTCAAGCATCCATGCAGTGCAAGGCAATACAGAGTAGGATTAGTGCAGACGTTGTAACCTCCTGTATCCTCCTGTGGTTTTTTGAGAAAGGCACAAAGAACAAGATTGCATATCTCCTCGTTTTGGCTGGGATGAGTTAATTTTCTTCCTAGTAGCTGGTATAGTGCTGTGTTTTGGATTTAGTATGAAAATAATGTTGGTAACACACTGATGTTTTACTTGTTGCTCAGCAGTGTTTACAATTAAGTCAAGGACTTTTCAGTTTCCCAGGCAGAAGCCTTCTGCAGGAGGGGCACAAGAAGCTGGGAAAGCAGAGCCAGGACAACTGATCCAGACTGGCCAAAGGGATATTCCATACCATGTAACATCATGCTCAGCATATAAGCTGAGGGGAGCTGGCTGGGGAGTGCCGCAGCTTGGGAACTAGCTGGGCATTAGTCAGTGGTAGGTAAGCAACTGTGCTGTGCATCACTTGTTTTGTACATTCTATTATTATTATGTTATTATTATTATCTTCCTTTTCTGTCCTATTAAGCTGTTTTTATCTCAACCCACAAGTTTTACTTTTTTTTGATTGTCTCCCCCATCCCACTGTAGGGGAGGGGGAGTGAGTGAATGGCTGTGTGGTTGTTTTAGCTGCCTGCCAGGTTAAACCACAACAGCATGTCGGTATACATAGCAGTAAAAGGCAGACAGAAAAGACCATTAATCCAGTCTTGGAATCAGACACTGACAATGATACCCTTCTATACCATCAGGCTTGTCTTTTCCTAGTAGGAGACAGCTTGAGATATCAGAGCAGATATCAGAGCAGGTTTTATCCAACAGTTTCTCATCAACTATTTCGTAAAGCAGCTATTACTTTAGTGTGCACACAATAAGAAAGACCTATAAAGGCTATTTTTTTCCTGAGTTCCACACAGAAAGCTCTATCTTGAACAAGTCATTGTTCAGAGATACCCAAGTTAAATATATCTGCTTGCCACAGTACTTACTGCAGAACGCAAATGAATGTAGAGAAATTTTCCTGTGTTTCCTAAGATAAGTCTGCTTTAATTTTTAGGAAGACAGAGTATCACACTGCCAAACAATTCTGAGCCTCACCAATAACTGCAAGTTCAAATATTGAGGCTTGGCCCAAAAGATATCATTATCTTTTCAACACACTCTTAATAACGATCATGTAATGTTTATAACGTGGTGGAAGTGCCTGGATTTTAGTGAGCTTTTGTTCCTGTCATAGTTCACAAATTTTCATTACCTCTTTTCTCTATGAACCGCTTCCACAGTAATGATCAACGATCATTCATATCTAAAACTCCAGCACTCCAATTGTTCTAAGAAATTCATCATTACTACAAACTACTGACCTTACCCTAAACCCATCTGATTGCAGGCCAGTTGGCTTAAATTTTCTTGCCACTCATCAGCACAAACATGGTTATCAGCAGCTGACCTGTGAATGGTCAGGAACATCAAGGAATTCATGTTTTTAGACAAGGTAACTGCAAAGAAAAAGAAGAACAACTTCACTATTATTTCACATAGTTAGTTTTATAAATGGCATACTGAAAACATACAACTACATTCAAAAGAGTTTTCCAAGATGCTGGCACTTTTGCTGATTTTATATGCTCAATAGCTTTGCAATTTAAAACCGAGGCAACCGTAGCTATCAGAATCTTGCTACCATTGAACAGCATGAGACACTAAACAACAAAGGCATCTTAAGGATTAGAATAAACCAGAATACTCTTAACTCACAAGTGCAGGTTCACATGGGTTTCTGATAGCCTTAATCTTGTCAAATAATGTTTTACCCCACAAATAGTCCAACTGAAATCACTAAAGTAATTTGTGGGATGAATGCTGCTTGACGTAAGAGTGATATGATCATTTGACTCTCAGTAATATGCACTGTTCCTGTCATAACAATATGTGGGTGTAATTAGAGAAAGAAAAAACAACTACTGTTTACAAGAAAGATCATGACCATTGCTTCTCTCTTAATTCATGTATAAAAGTGTGTGAACTGCTTCTAACACACACAAAAATCTTCTCAAAATGGCCCAAAATGGAAATATACATCCTTCCCTTTCTAGGATCTGTTAAAAGATGTTGGGTTGTGTGCATTTCTTTCCCAAATACTTACTGGTTTTAGTTAAATTGTTCCTCTGACCTTTGCTTTGATAGTACTAATCTTAACATAGCTAATCATTACGCATTTTTGCTATATGCCGAAGGTGCTTTTATTCCTCTCCCCATGCGAAAGGTATGTATTAATCTAGATTACTCCTTTTCAAATATGCATTTCTAGAACAGTTGTTCTTTGTTGCACAGGTTTTATTAAATGTTCTTCTTTATTAATATTCATACAATGTTAAATGTTTTAAAATATTTATACAATCTACTTCAATATGAATACAAAATATTTGCTTCTGTAAGTCATGATACACCTTTTCTCTGTATTTAAAATTACATACAAAGCATCTCGAAACCCAGTAATATAAACGCCTGTCATGTACACAAATACATCAGTGAAGTCTCAGAGGACATACTACCGCTTTCCAACCTGCTTCTTTTCAGTGCAATTTTTTTTAAAATCCACCTTCATTTTTATTTAAAGAATAATACTTGGAGAGTTCTCCTTTAACAACACATAAAAGCATGAAGCCTAATCTGAATATAGATACAATAGCAGGTTACATCATTCTGCAGGCCTTCAGCTAGTGCAAAGGGCACCTAGTAGGACTGTCTTCTCATAAGCTCTGAACCTGCACCATTGTAGTCAGTGGGAATTTCATGCTGATTTTCACAAGTACAGAATCAGAGCTTAGAAGTTTTGCCCAAATGAATTCTACATCTGAAGGTCTTCCAACTCTCTCTTCTATTCACACCACTTTCCAGATTTTACACGCCATCTACGCATTTTAGAAGTTCCCTGCCATGTCACTTTTCGTTTATCTTTGCACTGTGACACTTCACACTGAGCCTTTCCTTTCTCTTTTGCCCACTTTCTTGCATGCTTTCCCAACCTCAACCCAGTCTCCCTTTGGTAATAAAGGGAGCATCTCTCTACCACTGCAATTGTATTCTAAATCAGATCACCCGTGATTACCACCATCACCAAACATCACTTCCAGGCAGAGCGCACCATGGTGGAAACTTACCACAGTCCCATTCGTCTGAGCTGTCACTGCAGTCTGCTTGCCCATCACACCAGAGCTCACGTGGCACACATTCATGGTTGGCACATTCAAGTTCACTCTCTTCACAAAATGCTGCAAGGACAAAAACATGTTTCACTCTGAGAAAGAAATGTTCAATATGAAGTTCACATCGAGACTGAAAAAAATGAGAAGGAAGGTAAAGGTAGGCACAAATCAGATCTATGGAGCAAGAAAGTGAGACAAATTTGCAACAAAATTCAGGATGGACATCACTGAGGCAGAAGGTGGTTGCTGCTGCACAGTGGCAGAGGGCATCTGTGTTGGTTTTGCGTGGCAAGGT